TGGGTGATAGAACAAGAGGAAATGGGTATAAGCTTAGTCAGGGGAGATTCAGGTTGGATGTTAGGAAGTATTTCTTCTCTGAAAGGGTTGTGAGCCACTGGAATAGGCTGCCCAGGGAGGTAGTTGAGTCCCCGTCCCTAGATGTGTTTAAGAATAGGGTGGATGATCTACTTGAGGATATGGTTTAATGGGGATTAGGGATGGTTGGACTCGATGATCTCTAAGGTCTTTTCCAACCTAGAAATCTATGAATCTTCTGGAAAACTGACTAGTCAGGTGGGCTGCTTAGGCTAGTTTAGGAATTTTGGTTTTTCCTCAACGTACCTGTGTTTATGGATAAAATGTACGGTTAATCTGTATTGTATTAAATGTATATATCACTGATAACCTGGCATTTTTCTTACACTAAATGCTGAATGTAAGCTTTTTTGTCTTCTGTTTTGCATACCTTCAGGGTGGTTTGGTTAAATTGAGTTCTCATTAAGTAAAACTACATGATCTCAGATTAAACCCAAGACAATTTTACATTCCAAGGATATTTCAAAATTCTGTTAAAAAATTGCTCAGAATATTTTTAAATACAGTGTACTGCTTGGCACTGTTTCCTAGATGTTAGCCCATTACAATTCAGGGTATAATGACATGCAAAGCGACAGCCAGTCTGTCCCCACAGTCTTTATTTCAGCTGTCTCTTCTTTTTTTTTTTTTTCCCCTCTGTAAAATAGGTGTTTTTGGAAATTCATCACAGTGCCTCTAAATGATGAGCAGAGTGGATGGAGAGGGGTAATTTTGTGGAACTGGGACATGAATTTGAGTTCTCAGTAACTGCAAAGTGGGGTGTTTTTTGCATACCTGTTGATAGGTGTATTTACAGCCTGTCATTTGGCACTGTATAAAGCAGCAGTACCCGAAGGTGAAAGGGAGCCTGAAGAAGAGTGTCAGCCATAAGGCTGGAGATCACTGACGGAGGGTTGGCAGAGCTAACTTTAAACGAGCTGCCACCTTGCAAAGGCAGTTCAGAAACACGATCAATGAGTATGCCTTGGATTCGGGGTTGTGATGCCTGCATAGCTTCCTGTGCTTGGTTGTGTCTGTGCTATACAGAGCTTTGCAGTGTAGTTATATCCTAATCTTGGTTGATTTAACACCCTTTTCTCCTCTGGAATTTGTAGTTGGCTGTGCTTTTCTGCCTCTTAATCAGGTTGCATGGATACATGAACTGAAAGAATAAGAAGCTCCTGGTTATTACTGTAAAGATGACAGTAAACATAGGGGGAAAAAAAATCCTTGCTAAGTAGCTCAATAACTGTTTTAAACTATTTTGTTTTGTTCTTTCAATGGCTGATTTTTAAAAAAAAAAATCTGAGGTATTTGGTAGTGATCATTGTGCTCATAGTGAAAATGCACTCTACTGTAAACCAAATTCTGCTATGCTCCATGATTCTGTCAATATTTGAACCAGTAAATAGATGTTGAGCTGAGTCCTTAAGGTGAAAATCATCTGGAGAACTAACATGGCTTCCAAGAGGAATCTTTCTAGAGTGTAATGCTGATTGTGCCTTTGGTTACCTTTCGACAAATGCGCAGGTTCTGGTGAACACTGGGTTGAGCTTGTCTCCAAACACAGAATCAGCGGGACTGGCTTAAGGATGGCTTGAAGCCAGAAATGTTGTTAAAGGTTTAAATATGTCGAAAGCCTCTGTCTAAAAATCACAATTGATTTTTTTTCTTGCTGATAGAATAGTTGTACCTAAGATTACCCTAAACAAATTAAGGATTACCCCTCCACCTCTCTGCCTTTTTTTTTTTTTTGTCATGCATTTGACCTCTGTTCTTGTACAGTCCTCTTCAGTGTTTCCAAGTCTTTGATTACTATATAAAAAACCGCATGCAATAAAAAGAAAAATGCTTTAGGTGAGAAGGGTGGGGATATTAGTATCAGACATACTAATGGATAATATAGTGTTTGAACTGAAATCCAGGAAGTCTTCCAAGAAACTTGAAGCAAAATTCATATTATTTGTTTATACTTTCCCCCTGAAGCTAGTTAATGTTTTTAAATATAGCTGTGCAAGGTCATGTGTTCCTTTTTTAACTGTATCAGAAAAGAAAATCTTTAGTTTCTTCATTTTAATGTTAAAAATCACCTGGGATATTGTTTTCCTGAATTTCGTTTGTTTAATGATTGAAAATTTTCTATCCTGATCTGTATATGGCATAGGAACGTGGAAGAATCATTAGAGGCAGGAATGATAATAGGAAGATTGAAGTAAATGTCTCAGCAGAAGGCTGAGAGGAGAAGGCTCAGCAGAGAAGGCTCAGCGAAAAGCAGAATTTTCTTCAGAAAATTCTCCAGAATGTGACGCAGATGGAGAGAAAGAGTGGCTTTCTTCCATGGCTTGTCAGGAAGACTGCTGTATAGAAGGTGAGGGTGTTTGCAATATGCAGTGGTACACTGGTAGTGCTTTGTTGCGAGAGCTACGATTCTCCAACCTGTGAGATGACAGCTGCCATGTTTTTATCTGGAATTGCCAAGGCAGAGCTCTGCAGGCACGTGCAATGCAGTGCTTGTGCAGTAAGTTGCTGAATATAAATAGTTTGTGTGCACCCAGTAAGTCCGGTGCTTGCAGGAAGCGTATGACTGATCCTACACGAAATCCGTGGGTTGTAGGTGGATGTTCAGCATATCCTTTGAGTGCCTTCCAAAAGTGTCAGACCAAGACAGGGATACTCATTGATTGTACACTGCATGTGGACTAGCCCGTGCTATCCCAAATGCTTCGGGCTTGCTGTGTGTACACGTTGCAGTTGATTGATGTGCGTATAGTGCACGTGTCTGGGATGTCCCGGTGTACAGCAGCTTGTTCGGAGCTCTGCTGTAGTAGTTCTGACGGAGCTGCTGTTCCTCTGGAAATAGAGGGCAGCTAAAATATGGAAAACATGTTTGGGAAAACTCAGACATGCGGCAGCCTTATGCAGGATCCTCTTAGGTTGTTTCAGCTGCAGGAAGCAAAAGGCCAGAGTGGAGCCTGTCAGGTTATGGTGCTGCCAGCCGTGCGGTGTTTGCCTGTTTATGGGCCAGCAAAGAGGAAATTTCGACTGCTGTTGTCGGAGAAAGGAATGGCATTGTATAATACACCCCAAAATGTCATGGGGAAGGAGAGAATGAACTACAACCAGTAATTACCACAGCTGGTGTATGTCTTCCCTCCCCAAATTGTCCTTTGTATCCCAAGAAGTGGATTCTGGATTTGCAGACTTGGTAGCTGCAATAAGTCCTTAGTTGTGTAATCCTCCTTCTTCTGCTTCGGAATGGAGGCTTGGTGTTTAAATGGGGATTAAAACCATACTGGTGCTTCTAGTGTACTTGAAACAGCGTTTTTAGCTTTTTAATTTGTTCTTAACACAGGCCTTGGTTAAAACCTGCTCCTTTTGTCCCAGCTCTCCAACAGAAAGCAGGTGACAGTGCAGTGCAAAGGTCTGTGCGTGCAGCGGGTCGTACAGGTGTGACAGTAGTGCTTTCTGCTGCTTGTTCAGAAATACATTCTTTCTGGTCATCTCAAGTGTTGGTTTCAAACCTCTTGTTGCCCAGACCCTTTCGTAGCACCGTGGCGTGTCAAATGCCAGTCCAGAGAATGCGGCGACTTGAAGCATATGGCGTAGGAGAAGACAACCAACAACTGGTTTTGGTAGTAAGGGAAATGGGACACAACAGTGTCTCTTTGAATTTAGGCATAGTTGTGCACCACTTTGCCGTGGTCTCGTGGGTACAATTTCGAAACTACTGGCTGCAAAACTAGCGTGAAAACGGGGAGAAGGTGGCTCTGCAGGAGCAGACAGTTAAGACTGCTCAGTAGCAACTATGAAGCAGGGGCAGAACGTTCTACGCTGGGCTCAGTTTACAGATCTGCTGGACTGGTTGAGCGTTGTATACATTAGATTGGATCAGTTGCTGGCTCTGAGTGGTAGTTTTATGACGATGATTCAGCATCAGTATTCCTTATAAAGGAAAACTGTTTGCTTCCTGCCTCTTTCTTCAGCAATTCAGCTGTTATTGTAAATGATTGGAATTAGCTGTTTCCTAATGGTTGTTTTGAGTGCACATAGCCGTTGAATTAGACTTTCTGTGACAAAACCAAGTAATTTCCTAATTAGCACCTTAAAGAATCACCTTTAATGCTGCCTTCTGCAGCTTTTCTACTTAAATGTCTCATTTTTTTCACATCTTTCCTTCTTCTTAGTCTTTCTTTATTCTTCCTTAGCTGCCAGCCATTTCCATCTGCCCCTTTGCTGATTTTTTGTTGGTTGCATGAACTGCTCTATTTGTTCTTGGG